GTAAATGCTCCTAAATGCTTTTAAAAGCATTAGACACTTTTACAAGCAGCAGGCATTTTATCTGCCAAAACACCGCTGCCAAGAGGAGGAGCATTTCTAAAAAGTCGTGTGTAGACGAAGCCTAAGTGATACACATTTTCCTACTTGTCTCCATTGGCCTGTAAGAAAAAAATCCCTCATTTTCTGTTAGTATTTTGCCTTCAGATAGTTCATAGTGTTTCAAAAAATGTTATTGATTCCGGAAAGGTTCACTCGATAAAACTGCAGGTAAACCTTGAGATACCAGTGACAATTTCACGTCCTGTTATATGTTTTTACAAGGAAGTTTTATTTCTCTAGAGATTTTAAGCTGGACTATGTGTTTGGAGCTGTTATCAGAAAAAATTACATTTATACATTATTTCACTTTCTTTTTTTTTTTTTTTTTCTAGCTAGGAACATCTGTTCTGCATTCTCACTTCCTTTTACTGCCTCTTCTATTTCCCAAAGTGAAGCAGTCTCATTGGTACTGACAGGTTATTCTAATAGTCAGGCAAAACTGGGACCCTACTAACACAGTGAAACTAAATGAGAGCAGCACACAAGGAAGGCTGTCATTGTAATGTAATTACAGATACTTTGTGGTCCTTGCTTTGAATCAGGACTTTTACTGGTAAAAGTATACAGTGGATGACAGGCCCATTTGTCAGTTATTCAAATAATACCTCATGAGATTTAAAATGGAGATATTATTTGAAAAAAAAAAGGTTTAAGGCCCCAATCACACCAGTGTGCAGAGATGTGAGTTTTTCTGCACGTGTTCTGCAAGGGCACAGAGAAAACAATTGTTCTCTATGTACCCTGTTTACACCACAACACTAGTATCACATGCAGATTTTTTTATGCACAGAAATCTGCAGCATGTTTAAAACTCACTAAAACACAAATGTAAACTCATGTCTCCACCAGTAAAATCTGTGTGTGTTTTTTTCAGTTTTGCTACACGTATGGTGTGAACGAGGCCTAAATGATGTGAATAAAAACTGACTGGTGTAAACACCCCGTGCCAGTGTTATGGCTTGTCCCAACCCCTATAACTGACATTCTTGCTGAACAGCTTGGCGTGCTACAAATGTGGAGGAAAATATCAATACAAGCTAATGGGATTGAAAGGTTATTAAAGTGGAGATAAACTTGCCATCCCTTCAGTGGTCCCTGTCCCTCGCTGGCACTGACCTCTCTTTCTGGGGGCTGGTTTTCGGCCATCTTCATCTTCACACGGAATGTAAACTGAGCTACATATGCGCAAAGCAGTCTGCATTCTATAGAAGATTGTCAGTAGGCAGGTAGTTTTATCTCTTCTGTAATAAAGAACCGGTCTGCTCACAGTTTTTTTTTATTATTAGACTTTAGTTCCGCTTTAAGTACCACTTAGGCCCCACACACACTGGGAGTTTAAGATGGCTACTCGGTAACATCCATTTATTAATTTATCACAGGTATTAATATAGCTCCGTCAATTTGCACATCGCTTTACATATATATATATATATATATATATATATATATATACACAGTGGGGGAAAAAAGTATTTAGTCAGCCACCAATTGTGCAAGTTCTCCCACTTAAAAAGATGAGAGAGGCCTGTAATTGGCATCATAGGTAGACCTCAACTATGAGAGACAAAATGAGAAAAAAAATCCAGACAATCACATTGGCTGATTTGGAAAGAATTTATTTGCAAATTATGGTGGAAAATAAGTATTTGGTCAATATCAAAAGTTCATCTCAATACTTTGTTATATATCCTTTGTTGGCAATGACTGAGGTCAAACGTTTCCTGTAAGTCTTCACAAGGTTGGCACATTGTTGCTGGTATGTTGGCCCATTCCTCCATGCAGATCTCCTCTAGAGCAGTGATGTTTTGGGGCTGTCGCTGGGCAACACGGACTTTTAACTCCCTCCAAAGGTTTTCTATGGGGTTGAGATCTGGAGACTGGCTAGGCCACTCCAGGACCTTGAAATGCTTCTTACGAAGCCACTCCTTCATTGTCCGGGCGGTAAGTGGGAGAACTTGCACAATTGGTGGCTGACTAAATACTTTTTTGCCCCACTGTATATATATTGTACATTCAGTCCCTGCCCTCAAGGAGCTTACAGTCTAAGGTCCCTAACGCATTACAGCAATTTTGTATTGGCTACATGACAGGATACAACAGTAACACTCTAATGCATTTCAGCCAAAGCCTTATTCAGTGCTATGGGTAAGGATTTGGCCAAAACGTGTTAACATGTTACTGCTGATCCTACCATGTCAACAAAGAATTGTTCCTATGGATGTTACTGAGTAGCCAGCTTCATTGTATTAGAGGATTATTGTTACATTTTAAAGGCATTTAGGCGACAGCACAGGTTCCCAGTCTCCTAGGTAATTCTCGGTAGAGCTTTTTTTTTTTCTTTTTTTTTTGGACTGCGTTAGACAGGCTGCCTGTAGCTGCACTGGATGTGCACTGGTGTCCTCCATCTGCAGCTAAATGCCACATGCATCGGGGCTAAACACCCAGTGTACATGGGGGCTTGCACATCTTGTTTTTCCCCCTGCCTGTGACTGGACAGTGAAAGAAGAAGCAGCAGACTGATGAGCTCATCGCCCTGTATCTCTGCTCTCCAATCAGCGTGCATTCTGTTATCACATGAGCACTGCAGTACACTTTGCTGGCACTTAGTGCTGCTTCTTCCTTCTCCAGTCTGAGCTCTGCTGTACAGGGACTGCGAGAGGCTGAAACAAAGTCAAATTCAAGTACTTAAACTATCTGCATATACAAAATACATTTATTGCTGCGTTCATGATTGCAGAGCTGCATTCATGTGCTTTTGTAACATCTGCCTGGAGTTCAGCTTTAACTAATATGCAGTCATCAAGAATGCCTAATGGATAGTGGTTTCTGTTTTAAAATATTGCTTTTTCAGTGTTATTCTGCCTTTGAATAAATACAACTTGTGCTTGGAAAAATCTAGTCATTTCCCTGTCCCATTCTGTGCGGGACTATAGTAGAACCTTGTTGCAGTTCTGTCATGCAGAAGCAGGAAGATGATCAGCACATTTTGAAGAAGGGGGTCATTATACGGCACTCCATCATTTAAAGGGAATTCTTTGTGAAGAGGAACTGCGAGTTTTTGGAAGGAGTCTGTGTCTCTGATGGCAATTCCCAGATGTTGCTGAGCAGTAATGAGCGCAGTGTGTAGACATCTGTGATTCTCCAATACTGCCTAGAAATAGATCCGGGGCAATCATTGTTGTGTACAAGTGATGATAGACGAGAGCAATTATTACACTCCATGACTGGTACTCCTCCTGCTGTCTGCCAGTTAGAGCTAAACCGTGTTTGGCAGAAAGAAGATTCTTGTTATGATGAAAGGGTTTTACAGGCCATGGAAGAGAGTTGCCTGGCTGTGTGATCTAAGATACCTTGTTCAGTCTTCTCTCCTCGTTTTATCTAGCCAGCCATTTCTGGCCCACTATCTGTACGCGTTGCGCTGTAATTAGGCTGGGTGCAGCAATATGTCTACCCCTTACTGTTTTCTTAAAGCTCGAAAAGGAAAGGGGGGAGTCAGAAAATGCTGAGCACCATGCTTCCATAGGATGTGCTTAGGAATGTTAACACTAAGAGGTAGCACTCAGAGCCAGGCAGCAGCTGCAACAGCAAATTCATTTTTAGGAGGTGTACAAAGAGACTTGAAGACATTCAGTCCGAGTATGTTATTGTCAGTTCTTAAAGTGTAAGTTCACCTTTTCAGAAAAAAATTGAAAGGTGAACTAACACTCTACACCTTCCCCACCCCCTGGTCCCCACTGAACTTGCCTCTGTACGTGATGAGTTGTCAGTGCCCATACAGCGGTCCAGGGATTTGAAATCCCAGCTGTTCCCCCTCTTCTTTCTGCAGGGCTTCCAGAATGGATCAGAGTGATTCTGATTGGTCAGAATTGGCACAAAACATTGCTTTGATCTGTATGGGAAGCCCTGCATGAAAAGGGAAGAGAAGAGCTGGCATTTCATATCCCCTTGCACCGGCTGCATGTGCACTGACAGCCCATCACCCACAGAGGTAAGTACAGTAGGGACCGTGAAGGGGGAAGGAGTTGTAGATGAGGGGTGCTGGGCAGGCTGTAGGATGGTCACCTTTTCATTTTTTATGTAAAGCTGAATTACCACTTTAAGGATGGTCATAGACAGCTCAATATTTGAAGTGGAACTGAATTCGAACAGTGAAAATTTCAAATGTCCAAGGGAACAATAAGAAATGTTAATTGTGCTTTAGCTGTTTCCAGCAAAATGTATCTTTGGTCTATATTTGCTTCATGAAAAATAGAAGTCTCATAGCTGTATGTCTACAGTGTGAGATATGGGGCACAGCATCCTATGTCTGCTGATCTCAGTAGATTTGGAGTGAGATTTGGTGGTGCTGGAGGACAGTTCATTGCCAGTGTAGAGGGGAGCACTGTTTGCTGGGGGAGCTGGGATCAGGTAACTATAAGTACTCCTACCATCCCCTAGATTTTTTTTTTATTATTTATTAAAGTGTATTTTTTACCCAAAAATGCATTTGAAAAACAGCTGTGCAAATACCGTGTGATATAGAAAAATTGCAACGATCGCTATTGTATTCTCTAGGGCCTCTGCTAAAAAAATATATATATAGAATGTTTGGAGGTTCTAAGTAATTTTCTAGCAAAAAAATACTGATTTTTATATGTAGGGGAGAAGTGTCATAATACGCCTGGTCCTTAAGTGGCTAGACTTGCAGTTACCCTTCCAATGTAGTTTTGCTGCACTTCCTTGAAGGTCTCCTTTAACTACTTGCCAACCGCAGATAGCCGAATGACGGCTACACTACGGCCGGCCAGTTCTGGGAGGGCGTCATATGACATCCTCCCAGAACGCGGTGCAGGGGGGGCGCACCCGGCGATCTCCGTGATCGCTGTGTCCTACGGACACAGCTGATCACGTGATGTGGTAAAAGGCCAATCACAGCGGCCTTTTACCACGTGATCAGCCGTGTCCAATGACACGCTGATCACCAGGAAATGCAATTGCCGGTTCTTGGCTGCACTTTCCTCACGCTGTCAGAGCGCGAGGAAAGTACTGCCGAGAACTGGCAGTTGTCAGAGCAGGGATCGGCACCGATCATCATTGCCACCCACCAGTTTCCGCCCACCTATGCCCAGCAGTGCACCCACCTGTGTCCAGCAGTGCCACCCAGCAGTGCCCCACCCACCTGTGCCCACCAGTGCCACCCCTGTGCCCACCAGTGCCACCCACCAGTGCCCATCAATGCAGTGCCGCCAGTCAGTGCCATCAGTCAGTGCCCAGCGGTGATGCCAGTCAGTGCCACCTATCAGTGCTGTCTATCAGTACCCATCATCAGTGCCACCTATCAGTGCCGCCTATCCGTGGCACCTCATTAGTGCTGCCTATCAGTGCCGCCTATCCGTGCCACCGCATTAGTGCTGCCTATCAGTGCCCCTCAGTGCTGCCTATCAGTGCCCATCAGTGCTGCTCTCATCAATGCACATCAGTGAAGGAGAACAATTTTTTGCACTTTTTTTGTTTATAGCACAAAAAGTAAAGCGCCCAGCGGCGATTAAATACCACCAAAAGAAAGCTCTATTTGTGAGAAACAAATTATAAAAATTTCATATGGCACGATCTTGCATGACTGCGCAATTGTCAATGAAATTGTGATAGCTCTGAAAGCTGAAAATTGGCCTGGTAAAGCGGGGGTATTAGTGCCCGGTAGGCAAGTGGTTAAAATATATGTCAAACCAAAATTTTTCTATTTTTGCTTAAAGTGCTAAAGGATTTAAGTTTCTGTTGGCTTTTTATTGCTATCCAGGGCTCTATTAGGGTGACTTTTGTCTCACTTCCTATTCTGTGTATTCTAAGTGTAGAAAATTCCAAAAGAAACTCTGATGTGGGACTTTAATTATACTCCTGGTAACCACTGAGGATACAATGGCAAATTGTAGGTAAAATTATATCAATGTATTACACATTTTTCTTTTAAAACAATAAATAGTCTAATAATATCCGTATATGTAAGATAAAAATAAACACAGAAAAAGTATTTCTAGTACATATCCTTGAAATAGGTTAACGCTTCTTTTGCGTTGTCCCACTTCTTCAGGACCAACAAGGGTAATGTAGCACATGAAACAGTAGGATAATCTCTAAAAGAGAGGAATAAACATTCATCATATTGTACATAATCATAGCATACAGTCATGGCCAAGAATTCCAGTAGAGAGGCGTAAGAAACTCATTGATGGTTACAAGAAGCGATTGATTTCAGTTTTTTTCCAGGGGGTGTGCTTCCAAATATTATATTGAGGGGGCCAATAATTTTGTCCAGTCCATTATTGAGGTTTTGCATGGAATGTATTAGATTTGGCTTTTGTTTCTTTATTTTTGTTTGTGTCATACCAATACAAGCAAAAGAAACAAACATGAGAATGCTTAAACATTGCAATCGCAAACATTTTCTGGGCAAAGTGGTGCATTATTTGACAGAAATGCAGGAGTGCCAATATTTTTAGCCATGACTGTATATGTGTGGTAAAAACTATAGTATGACTTATATGGCTCTTCTCCGGTCCCCCGCCAGCGCTCCTGACCCCCCCCCCCTTCCTGCTGAGTGCCCCCAGAGCGAGCTGCTTGTGCATGCGTGCTCCCGAGCCAGCCCTGTATGTCCATAAGACATACAGAACGTGGCTTGGCTCCACCCCCTGCTCCCTCTTCACTGGCTGTGATTGGCAGCAGCCAATGGGTCCTGCTGCTGTGTGTCAGCCAATGAGGAGAGAGAGAGATCCAGGAGAGCTGAGGCTCTTGTGCACATCGCTGGATTGCGATTGGGCTCAGGTAAGTCCCCCTGTGCTCACACGCAAATGCGAAAACCTACGTAAGTCCCACATGCATATGTAAACAGAGAGCAATAATTCTAGCACCAGACCTACTGTGTAACTTTTAACTGGTAACCTGTGAAGGCTTTAAATCGACGCTTATGGAGATTTTTAGGTACTGTAGTTTGGTGCTGTTCTACTGGCATATGCAATATAAAAGTATGGCATGTTAGGTATCTATCTTTCAGACATAACTTCATCTTTTAGAATTTAACAAGAATATGATATTATATTGTGTTTGTGTGCACTAAAATTCAGTAACGTGTATTTTCTCCAAAAAAAACAAATTGCATTTGTAAGACCACTGTAAAAATACCTTGTGACATAAAAAAAAAGTGCAACACCCGCCATTTTATTCTCCAGGGCCTCAACTTAAAAAATCTATAATGTTTGAGGGTTCTAAGTCATTTTCTTTAAAATTTTTTTATATTTTTACATATATGTGAAAAGTGTCAGAATCGGCTTGGGAGTGAACTGGTTAAAGCTGAATTCCAGGCAAACAGTTAAACCTGTCTGGCAGGGCAGGGGACAAAAAATGCAGTTAAATTACTGGCCTTGTCACAGTGAAAAGAGATGCAGCAGACTGATAAGCTCATTTCTGTCACACTCTCTGCTCTCCTCCGATCAGCATGTCTTTTTTTTCCTTAACATCAAAACTGACCTGATCATTGTGCTGCCTCTCCATCCCCCAGTCTGAGTTCTGCTATACAGAGAGCTGTAGGAAGCTCATACCAGGTCAAATTCGAGAACTTACACGGCTTGCATTTACAAATATATATTTAGGAATTAAGTATTATTGAATTAAGAGCTGCGTTTGTGTCTTCTATATGAGATTCAGCCTTTAGATCATTGGGAGTCCATATGCAGTGTCTGTGTCCACTACCATTGTCATGGCTGGCACGACAAGTACAGAAATGACAGCTCCTGTTGGTTTTGTTTTTGTTCCTGGTTCAGACTTTTCACAGCTTTAATCAATACTCCCGCCGCACCGTGATGGCCTCCAATGCCTAGCCTGTTAACACAGGAAACACTTGCGAGGCGGCATTTGTGAACCAGCGGATTATATATTTACTGCTGCTGCTTGGAATGTCTGCGTGGTGAGTCACGGTATTTTCTTTGCCTATAAAGTGATCTTTCCTCCAGGCATGTGTTTCTAATACACAGAGCAAGCTGGAGAGTTTTGTTGTTTCGGTAACACAGGAGAACATTTTTAGGAATCCCAAATTGTGCCAGCACTGTAAATGGTAACAGCAGAGAATAGCGCAGACACATTTATCTTGGCGAAGAGGAAAATCTTTAAAGGAGAATCAGGGCGTATTTTAAAGTGCATGTCTGGGCTAAATAAAACAACATATTTGGTGTATCACCGCTCTTCATCCACATTTCCCGGAATTTAACCCTCAGCATATGCAGAAGAAATACCAGCTGATTTGCAGAAATCCTGTGAGCTCCTAACTTTCTGCAGTAAGCTGACAACTCTTTCTGCTGAACTGAAATTGTTAACAGTGTTGTCAGTATTCCCCTGTCGGCCTACAGAACACTTTCCTGTTATGAAGAGAAGCATGGTAGGGGGTTGTTCTGTAGTCACTGAGAGGTGCTGACAACATTGCTTGGAATTTCAGTGCTGCAGAGGCAGAGTTGTCATATCACCACAGGAAGTGAGTAGCTCACTGGATTTCTGTCAGATCAACTGGTATTTTTCTGTACTTTCAGTGTTTTTTTTTCTAAGAGATAAATCAAGTCTGTATTGCAGAGATGTATTATTATTATTATTTTTAATTATTAGATGTACTAAATGTTTTTTTTTTCCCAGACCTACACTTAAAGGGTGTACACACTTTGTGTTTTTATTGCAGGCTTTAGCTGAACATGAGTTTTGATGTGACTTTTTACTAGCTTGTCGTGAGTTTTATGTTTATCTGTGTAGATTCTCCTTCAGTCGGACTTGTCAGATGTACATAAAGCCACTAAACTCCCTTTGTGGAGAGACAGTTGAAGACATGTTTATGGGGCCTTTGTATGATGGGACTGGAATGGGGATAAAAGATCCTTGGGGTTTCCTTGATCATGACACAAAATGTTGCAGTTTAAAAGCGGTATTAAACCAAAAAGCAAACCTTTTTTTTATATTGTAGCTTACAAATTCTAAGATGTGATGACTGCATTCCTTTTGTTTTTAAGGCTTTCTTCTATTTTCATCTGGTAATATGGCCAGTAAGTCTTTTGTTTTTGAAAAGAACAAGCTCTTGGCCAGATGTATCAGTCTACAGGGATGAGACAAACCATTTAACACTGGCAGGGGTGCTTACAATGATCAGCTTTTATTTATTCAATAAAACTTTTATCCAAAACGGAAACAACTGTTTGCTGTAACTGATTTTAAAGTATTCACTGGAGTTTGGCTTCAGTTTGTTAGAGCTATTATTATTATTATTATTATTATACAGGATTTATATAGCGCCAACAGTTTGCTCAGCACTTTACAATATAATGGGAGACATTACAGCAACAATACAGTTCAATACAAGGGGGATAGGAAGGCCCTGCTCCTTGGAGCTTACAATCTAGGAGATAGTACATTTAGCACTACCCTCCCCCCAGGCTGACAGTGGCTGCCGTCTGCTGTGCCCCCTGTGCTCCTCCATCCAGAATGGGTGCACTATAATACCGGAGGTGTGTTACTTGCTAGATTACCTGATAAAAACAGAAGGGAAAAAGCCTAAAAACTAACGCAGCGCAGCCCCACATCTAATGATTAGTAAGCTGCAATATATTAAAATTTTGGTTTGGAGTTTAATACTGCTTTAAGTAACGTTTACAATAAATTTAAGCATGCAACTTTAAAGTGCAATTTTTTAAAAATCAAAATCTTGTGCTGGGCTGCCCACAACTGTTCACCATTGTTGTTTGGATTTGAATGAGAAGTTGCTCCCACTATACAGGTTGATCCTATTCAAGTCTATGAGATGTCAGTCTGCATACAGTTTCTGGAGTCGGGATAAACCATATACCACTTACAGGGGGATTTATCACAGTCAACTTTTATTCATGTGGGTTAAGCTACATTCACGCAGGTGATTTAGGCCGGTGCAAATTGCAACTATAGGAATCGCTGGTATTAATGTATTCTTAAACCTTTTTTTCTAGAAAAAAAAGTAGTTGACGCAGCTGTTTAAAAGGTGGTTAATGGAGTTGGGCTTTAATTTATTTGTCGTACCTAAAAGTTCATTTAAACTAAATGACCATTCAAAGCTATCCTGTCCACAGGGTGACAACGCTGTTGTGTGATTTCACTGCAGGACAAGCAGTGTTGTCACCCTGTTAAAGTAAGGGGAAAATGAACAGATCTACTGGCAGCAACAACTGGTAATAAAAGCATTTTGCAGGGGGGACACTGAAAACAAAAACTGTTGTGACAAACTGCACCATGTCATTTTTTATATTGCCCATAATTACGCTTTAGTGAATGTGTGCCTGGATTAAAG